TAGCAGTATTGATTTTAGAAACTAGCTTTCACAGTTTAATCTAATTGCATGCTGAGATAATCTCATTTTGAGTTCTCCAACTATAGTGTAAGTTGCATTAGCACCATATTCTTTGAGGTGACTTTTTAGAGAATCAATCCCTTGCAGGCACACAACCTAAGCAAGGCCTTGAAATGCCTTTCATTCTCTGCAGGCTCACTCAACAAATCTATTCGCCCTCTATATCTATCGCTTTGAAGAGCAACTCTCTGTTTTCTGCAGAAGACTACCGTTGTAATAACAGGGGTAAAGTTTTTTCTATCCTTGGCTATTTGCTCTCTTAGCCGGTGGTCAAGATTATGGTCAATAGGGTTCTTCTTGCCATCTAAAACTGCTAGAAAATTGTCCGCATCAAGGACGCTGTTTCTGTGAAACGACTTTTTCTCATGCTCGTTAAAAGCCTCTATCGCATTCTTCCAGTTGTCAAACTTTGACATCACAAGTTTGTCTGAGGGCAGGCCTCCTACACCGGCCCCACATGGAGCGAAAAGGACACAATATTTTACAAAAGGTGTTGTTCTCCTTCTTGGAATAAACTAGCCTGTTTCGTCGCTGCAGCCACCGGTACTGAAGCTTCAATTTCTTGTTCCTGTTGCCTTGAATGGAAAGTTTGCGGCAGGCACCCACGCGCTTGTCAGCAACTCCTTTTTCTTGACATTGGTCACCTACAAAAGGTTTGTGTGATTAATATACAGACGGTAAGCAGAAATTCTCGCAATTACAGCATCAAGATTCGCATCCCTTAGTCTGGGTTGTCATATCACAACACATTAAAAAACAAAAAAGAGACTATACAAAAAAAACTGCTTTTTCATGCAGCTTTTGTCCTTCAGATTAGGAAGTAACAAGCATCACTATGAGACATATACACCTACACATTCATTCTTGAGACAGCGAATATGCATATGGAATAATAGAAAAAAACATTATTTCTTATCCGGCTTGTTTATGAACTGGGCTCCCGCCTGCGCGTCGGCTACAATAAACTCGTACAAAAAATACACATTTCGGAATTGATTAGATTATTCTGCATAAATTTGCTAAGAAAGGGGAAATAATTATGGATTGGAAAATGAGACAGTTGCTCAATCATTACTGTGCCGAGGTTCCCGAACAACTTGCCTAAGCTACTGCTTTCTCTTGTACCCGCGCCTTGGGGGGCAGCTAGCAGCACATGAAGAGAAAAAAAGTGAGGGAAGTACAAAACAGTGAATACCATAAGTTCCTTCGACATATCATCTTCCAGCCTTTAATATCAGAAGCCTGTAGTTTGTATGTAAACAATCACCTGCTGCTGGTAAATTTTGTATTTTCGTTAGGCAGGTTGCTGTGCCATAAGGTAAGGTTTGTCAATGGTAGTTACAATGGTACATTTGGTAAATTTTGTCAATGTGACATATACAAAAGTGTCTGCTTTTTTTGCAGGGCCCACTCAATATGTACAAGGTACACATGGGAAAGACCAATATATAGCGCCTAAATATTGTGCACAGCAATGATTGTTATCGAGTTGTGTCATTGTGAAAATAAATTTTCGAGATATAGAAACGGCTGTTGTTACAATAAAAATAAAAATCCACAATAGTAATTAAGCGACAAACCATATGTTTAATTGAACTTGAATAAATGCATACTAGGTACTGCCGAACTGACAAACATTCTTCGCCATGACACGTTGACAATAGTTGTAGTGACAATAGTTGTAACCCCAAACGCGGCTTTTGTGCGAGACACATGCGCAACGCAGTGCAAACAACTTTACAGAGGGTGTCAGCACCTTTACAGTATGAAATCAAACAGATGCACATTGCAAAGAGTAGAATCATCACAGAGCCCAACGAAGGCCAATTGGACGACATGCTTATCATGCTTCCCGCAGAGAACAAGACGCCGTTCTCGACCAAGTGCAACAAATGCTTGCTGAGAACATCAATCATTTACAAGCCCATGGGATCATGGATTGTGTTGTTTGAAAAGAAAGATGGCACATTGAGCTTCTGTTTTGATTATCGCAAACTGAACAATGCGACAGAGAAAGATGTCTATCGGCTACTTCGCACAGACGACTCACTTGATCACCTTCGAAACACCCGGTATCTTTCATCCATGGATCTACGCAGTGGTTATTGGCAAATTGAGGTCAACGAGCCTGACCGGGAAAAAACAGTCTTTCTGATGGGCTTTTGAATTTAAGGTGCTTTTTTTCTAACTGTGTTCTGCTCCCGCTGCTTTTCTATGAATAATGGACACAGCTTTGTGAGGTCTCAAGTGGCAATCGTGTCTTGTCTTTTTAGATCACGTCATTTTTTCAGCGTCTTCGTGCAGTACTTGAGGCGCTCGAAACAGCTTGCCTATCACTCAAGTTCAAAAAATGCCACTTGGACTACGAGGAGCTCAAGTTTCTCTGCTACGTCGCCAGCAGTGGTGGAATTCACTTAGACCCCAAGAAAACGCTGGCTCTCGCTGCCTTCCCAATCCCAATGAACTTGACGATAGTTATAGCGCGAGAACAAAACGATGACACAGAGACAAGAAGAACGCCCAAGCTGCAGGACTCCCAATGAACTAACATGACGTACGCTGTTTTCTGGGCCTTTGTGTGTACTATCGTCACTTCGTCCTGAACTTTTCGAAAATAGTGAACCCTTACACCAACTCACAAAAGACAACGTTGCTTTTGTGGGAGCAGAACATGAACTTTTTTGCGAGCTACGACACCACCTCGAGACTCCTCCAATCTTAGGTCATTTCAACGAAAATGTTGACACAGAAGTGCACACAGATCCGAGTAATGTCGGTTTCAGAGCCGTGCTTGTGCATTGGCATGAAGGTATCGAGCGACAATCGCCTACTATAGTTGTACGTTATCTTCGGCTGAAGCCAACTATTCCAACACAGTGAAGGACTGCCTAGGTGTTGTGTATGCCATGCCTAGTTTTAACCGTATTTGTATGGACGACTGTTCAAAGTTGTCACCGACCACTATTTTTTGTGCTGGCTTGCAAGCCTCAAACTTCTCTCAGGCCTTCCACCCAATGGAGTCTGCATTTACAAGAATTTGACGTTACGGTGGTTCACAAGTTGGGACACAAGCACACCTTTGCTGACGTCCTATCACGCGCCCCAGTTGAGTTGATTCCTTCTGACCAATCTGATGACAAAAGTTTTTTCATGGCTGTCACAGCCTTCGATTTGGCTCAGAAACAGTGTGATGACATAGAACTTCGCCTACTCATCAATTATCTTGAGGACAAGCTTGAACAGCTACCGCGAACATTCAGGCACACGATTTCATTATTTTTTTCTCCATGACAGCATCCTGTTCAAGCAGAGCTTTGATCCCAACACTCGAGCCACTCTACTGGTCGTACCTTCTGTGATGCGAGACGACATCCTGGAGGCGTGTCATGACAAACCATCTTCCGGGCATTTAGGGTTGATGCGTGCTCTGGCTTGTATCGGCCCCAAGTACTTACTGCTGGCCTGAACTGTCCCTATTGTCAAGCACGACGTGAAAACCTGCCGAGACTGCCAGCCTCGCAAGATTCCGCCCATGAAACATGCTGGTTTTTTACACCCTGTGGAGCCACCTCAACAGTGCTCGGCGTGGCTCCCCGATGGTGCTTGAGCACCGTCTCAACTAGTTGGCATGACCTGCTAGGTTCATTTCCAAAATCTTTAGCAGGTAATCGCTGGATAATAGTTGTGACGAACTATTTAACTCGTTACTGTGAAACACGAGCACTCTAACGCAGTACATACAGCAAGTTATGTCGAGGACTTCATTCATGATGTCGTCCTTCACTATGGTGCACCAGCCGCGGTTCTTACCGACAGAGGCACTGCCTTCACTTCCCAACTGCTGGAAGAAGGGATGACACTCAGTGGTAGCGCACATCACCGGATGACAGTTTACCATCTGCAAGCTTACGGCTTAACAGAACAGCTCAATAAGACCATCATAGACATGATATTCACGTATGTCGACAAGAACCATAGCAACTGGGACAGTGTCCTTCCTTTCGTAAGGTTCGCATATAACATCGCTCTGTTAGAAAGTACAGGATTTACACCTTTCCGTCTGCTTCACGGCCGCGAAGTTGCTTCAATGTTAGACACCGTGCTTTTATCTCGCACCATTACGAACACTAGCAAAAATGCTCACCAGTATGCGCAACACGTCAAAGAAGCTTGACGACTAGCTTGCTTGTGCAATCGCTCTCAGCAATAATACGATGCTCCCAGGTAGAACCTTAGCCACTGAGAAGTCCCAATCACCCCGGAGAAAAAGTATGAACCTGGAGCCTCGTACGTCAACGCGGTCACCCAGGCAAGCTCTTGCGTTGTTATTTCGGCCCTTACCAAGTTCTTCAGAGCCTCACGATCTCAACTACAAAGTCATTGCAGAGCCCCGCGCGTGGTCCTCCTGCCGTTGTGCACAACTGGACATCATCTACATGGCCAGGATGAACTCGTATTACTCACGCTGAAGACTTGCTCTTGCCTTCAAACATCTGAAAGCATCGAGTTGATGCTTTTGGAGAGGGGGAGTAATGGCACTGGCATGTAGTGGACATCTGGCTGTTGCGTGGCTAGTTTCATCATTACTTGTGTGTGGTGAAGGATTTGGCAAAAGAAAGACAAAGACGAACTCGCGCTGTTCGATTCGGAGTTGTTTCGCTTTTTACTATGCTGATACTTATTTTCATTTTATTACCAAGACATTATATATATATATATATATATATGTATATATATATATATATATATATATATATATATATATATATATATATATATATATATATATATATATATATATATATACGTAATGCGTATATACATGTAATACGTGTACTTGACCACTATGACAACGAAAGAACAAAAATTGCACACTGAGCTTGTGAAGAGGCAACAGTTGCCGGCTCATTCGTGGTTTGACAGTGTCGCTACTCTTGCAGGTGGTGAAAACAGTGACAAACTTGGAGGACAAAGGGCGGGTGTCGCACAGCATTCTTCTCTTCGGCCATGGGGATGGAGGAGGTGGTCCCACAGAGGCCATGCTGCGGCGTCAGTTGAGGCTGCAGGACGTTTGCGGGCTCCCGAAGTGAGATATCTTTCCTTGCTGTGGCTCCAATCATTGCCTAAGCAGTCTAAGAAAAAGAAGGGGCAGTTCAGGACCTGCGAAAAATGACCTGCTGAAAGCCTCTGATACACACCGACTGATTCGCTCGTGCGCCTGTCCTGTCTGCGTATTGTGGACGCGCAAGTCTGCAGCGGTTAAACAGGACACAGATGTCACTTGCTACCCAGCAGTAGTTCCAACACTCAAGGTGGTGATGTGGGCTAGTTAATTTGTGTCACTTGCACGCATATTTGTAGTATGAAAAAGGAATAACATGGAGACACAGAGGAACACATAAATAAGACGGGCACTTGACATTTTTTTATTCGAACTGCTTTTTTTTTTTATTGGAAAACCCAGAACCGTCGGACGAGCGCATGCGCGCAGTCGCACTCGAAGGTGCCCTCTTATATCATTAACGTCACGTGTGACCACCCTGCATGCGCATGCTCAATGTCCTTACTCAGGAAGGCAACCGATGCCACCCTGACACATTTTCTTTCATTAATGCTGATAGCAAATGCTTCTATAATTTCTCACGTTGTGTGATCCTCGCGTTTTCTAAGCACACTAGTAGGGGCGAATTCAGGTGTACAACTACACTTGCGGCCATGATCTGCCCAATAATGCTCCGCTGCCTACGCGTCAACTGCCGAACAGTGCTCTTGCAATCTGTCATTAAGACAGCGCATCGTTTGTCTTGTGTAGCACCCCCTGCAGGAAAGGGGTATCTTATGCACAGCACCCGTCTCGCAAGGCAAGGTGTCGTGTATGTCGCGTCGTGGGCCAGCCCTCTCTCTACTTCCCAACGGGCTGTACTGTGTCTTGGTGTTGCCACAGACAATAAAGTGTTGCTACCTTGAGCAGTATCGTGTTCTCACCATGGCGATGGTTAATGCGTGCCCTGTGGCTCGCTAAGAACGGACCCACGCTCTTGGCCGAACTCTTTCGGTATACGTATACACTACACTGGCTCCCAGCGCAGTATCAAAAGCTCTAAGCTTTTCACTGCTCTCCCCCACCTCTCTTCTTTAGAAATCGCCTACCATGGTCTCCGAGATGGTGAGCGCGCAGTATGTCTGTTTCCGGTCGTCACAATCGCACAGAGGAAGCATGTTTCCGGTGGTGGGCGTGGCCTGCTCTTTTTTCTGCTCTACGACCTTCCCAAGGAGGATCGAAAAGGCTGCCGCGCTGTTGTCATAGCTTGTATGTGGTAGGGAAAAAATGGTTTTGCGCTTTTATTGCGAGAGCAACTATATGGACAGTGTTGGCTGGTTTTTGCCATCGCTGTGGTCGCTGCCGTCATTCATGCTGTGGGAACGAAGGCTAGCCCGCCACCGTTGCGTGGGCTTTCTGGCCTATTTCTGCCGTTCTCATGTCCCCTACTCCGCTGTCTGCCACGCTGGGAGAGCAAGGAGTGACGCTTAACCCCTCTTATCCTGTAGCGGATTTCGACTGTGGCACCGCGCACAGGGCCTCTCGGGACGTGTCGTATGCGCGCACTGGGAGTGAGTCACATTTCTCCGGGACAGCTGAGGGTGAGCACACAATCTCTTTTTCGTCTGTCAACTCCCATTGTTTGGAGCTCGTCGGACTTCGCCAACGGCGCCTCGTGCTCAAGACAAACGCTCACCTTTTAGTTGCCTCTTAGCGTATGCTAAGTCGTACGGTGTCCTACTGCGTGGTAAAACTGCGCCGACCCGTATCTCTCGGACGCTAACACGAGCGCCTTTGCCCTCGCTCAAGCAACCGGTGTCTCCGTTAATCACTTTTACCACGGAGATGTGCTCGCGGCACCCCTGTGTAGTGCTTCTCGCCTGTGGCGTGGATAAGGCCATTTGCTTTCTCGCCGCGCCTTTGCAACGGTCTGTATTGCGTTTTGGTGTTGCTACAGACAATAAAGTGTTGCGACCTTGAGCAGTATCGTGTTATCATCACGAGGATGGTTAATGCGTGCCCTCGGCTCGCTAAGACCGGACCCACGCTAGTGGCCGTACTCCTTTGGGATATGTATACACTACACTGGCACCCATTGCGGTATCAAAAGCTCTAAGCTGACTGCTCTTAGCGAGTCAGTTCGCTTGTGCAATTCAGGCTCGTCGCAACATGTCTGCTTCGCTGGATTTTTGTCCGCTGTCCTTGTTAGCGGATGCCGCGTTGCGCAAGGAGGCCATTGCCTCTATTGACGGGAACTCTTTGGCACCCGTTCGTGTCGCCACCACCTATTGCGGTGCATACACAAGGCGCCTCTCTGCTCCCTTTGGAGATGGTGCGTCATTTCGGAATGGGCCTCTTGCCCTACCCGAACGGTACGCACAAGCGCCTCCAACTGCTACTGCGCCCTTCGGCATGCATGGCAGTTCGTCTACACAGTGCTCGCCATCGATTCCCTGCAGAATTGACGGGGCGCAGGCTTTGGCCCATGCCGACTTTTGCCCGCCGTCAGCCAGGCCACTGACACTTCAAACGCTTGCTGCGCAGTCACCTGAATTGTCGACGGTAGCCGCACCAAGTGGGCATTATGTTCGACAACAGGCCAATTCCACAAAGAGCCCTTTTTTCTCTGGGAGTGGCGCACAGGGCGGTGGTCCAGTTGAAACCGCCCCACTGATCAAGCTGGGTGACTGCTCACCTTCGTTTGACCGCACCGCTAACGCACCAACGGCTTTTTAAGAAGCCAGTGCGACGATGCAGACGTTGCTGTAAAACGCCGTGCACATGATCCAAGCACTCTCAGGAGCTGTTTCGAGACCCAAAGCAAGTGTCTAACCGAAGCAGGCTACCCAATTCTGTTACAGGTTTCTGTAGCGGAACGCATTCTCCAAGAGTCTCGAAAAGAAAACAGGCGTGAAGCTTTGAAGTACTCGGGTTGCAGAGTAGGTGTAATCTGTTACACGCAAAAAATTTCTCACAACTTAAAGAATGTGGCCCGGAGGGCTAATGTACGTGTTGTTTTTCAGCGCCCAAGAAATTAGGGGAGCTTTGCAAGCCCACTTGTCCAAGAAATGTTGCTCCCCCAGCTTGTGATAAGAAACACCACGTTAGATTCGTTGATTGTGTATCCTGTGTCATCTACAAGTTTCCATTATCATATTGGGCAAACAAAACGCTGTCTGAATGACAGATTACACGAGCACTGCTATAACGTGAGAAATAAGCTTATGGCGGGAGGATTCCTGGCGGCACACTGCAAAGGCTGTGGGTGCTCCCCTGATCTGTTTAGTTGCATAGTTATCGATCCTTCTAGAGATCGGCTCACACGGGAGATAAAAGAAGCCGAGGCTATAGAAGAATGAAACCGTTTGTGTGTAAGCTCGTCATCGATTTCCTTGTCAGAAAAGGAAATGACGTTCCTTAGTTTAAGAACACGTGCAAGATGAGTTGTGCTTTGTTGCGGATGTATAAAAATGGGTGTGATTGGCATGAAATAAATAGTTGGAAGTTTAGCGCCTACCTATCTCTACGTCTGTGTCGTGTGCCTTTCTTTTCATGTACTGCGCTAATACACGCTACGTTTATGGATGACCAACTCCCCCGATCGGCAACCCTTCTGAGCATAAACCAAAGCATTAGAACAAAAGTGCAAGCGGAAGTGCTCTCTTCACTTGTGCGCAACAATCTAGCCAATGCTTTATCAATTGCGATATTCTCACACAGAAGGTTAACGGCTCAACCCCTGACAGATAGAAGAATGTGTTGAAAGCAGATAAACAAATGTTCTCATTACAGAAAATACTGTGTAGACCAATTATAATTTAACAGCTTATAGTGCAGAATCACTTACAATGCGGTCTTTTTCTACTCCTGTTCACCCTCCCATAAAACTCCATGTATGCGTATACCGCTTATTGTACAGTCCCCCAAGATGAAAGACCGGTTATAACGCACTTGCTGTAAATTCTTTGTGATAAATGCGGTAGCGAGTGGGTGTCTGAAAGGAGGTGTGCTGGGTGCACCCCTTGGGAGCGAACGACGATGTTGTTGCGAAGGAGGAGGGGACACTGACGGAACGAACGAAGGGCGGTTGGAAGAAAAAGAAAATGAAAAAAAGTCTGCGGACACTGCACGGGCTCGACGAATAAAAAAGGAGAATTGTTGCCTTGGGGACCGATAAGCCTTTGCACCAACCGCTGCGACTACAGCGTACTACATCTCTAGCGTGGCTTCGGCCGTGTTCCACTCAACGTGGCACGTACGATTCCATCATTATCAACTGCTTGTGCCCAAAAGTTCCCTGTCAAAAAAGACATCATTGTTATCAAGCTAGCAACAAATATCGTGTTTGCTTCCTTGTCCGTAAATTGAAAACCTTTTATGGTTTTAGGACGCGAGCTTTCACTTTTGCTGCCAGTGCGATGACGTACGTAAGCTTGGCAAGTTGTCGTCGTTGCTGATCTGCCGGCCACACACGTGAACTTCGTATCATGCAAGCTGTTTTTAGTTCACTGCTAGTGGGATCTTTTTGACACAAAATCTTCATGTTCTGGACAAACTCTCCATGACAGCATACCAAACGGCAATTAAGGCCTAATACACGTTGGTTGCGCTTCGATTGGTCGCGGTCGTGTGAATCTAAGTTGCGACCGAATCAATGAAACTCTTTGCGGTGGCTGCACTTGACTGGAAGAGATACATATATCGCTAATGAAAAGAAGGGTGTCACCTGTAGCGCTAAAATAGTGGTTCGCGATTCTATTGCAATGTCTTAAATAGGGCGTACGTGCGCCGATGAAATCGAATGATTACCGTCTTTTAACGCGTCAAATTCTGGACGTGATTCGACAGAGTTTCTATGTAATGCATATAATCAAGGTGGTCTAGTAGTCGGCGAATTTCCGCGATGGTGCTTTCATTTGTTAGACCCCCCCACCTTTTCATCTTCATTTCATTGGCCTTGTGTGTCTTTCAATGTTAAATTCTTTTAACATTCAGAAACTTAAAGGTTAGCAAGCACACATCACCCATTTCGATTTTCAGACACG